TCACAGCTTTTTTAAAACATTAAATTGACTGAAAAACAACTCTCCAGAAGGCAGCGTTCTAACAGAAATTGAGAGGGAGGAGAAATACGCAGAGAACTTCATATGAAGTTGGTGATTCTGGACACATGCAGCAGGGTCGGAGGGACACGGCCACAGCTCCCCCGCGGGTGGGGCGGGCGGCCAGGTGGCCGGGTCTCCTGTTCCCAGCTGGCAGAGAGGGCGGAGTGGGGGCTTTAGCAGACCACTGTGGTCATCCCAGGAAGTTGGAGGTTCTCGAGCCCGGCTGCACACTGAGCTCCCTCTGGAGCCACGCACGAGCGGCCCGGCCGCCCAGACCAAGTGAGCCGTCGTCTCAGAGCCAGGCAAGGCCTGCATCCTTCTGAGCATTTCCCAGGGGACAGAGGCGAGGGTCAGCAAGCATAAATATAGGACTTTAATTCAGGGAAACAACAGATAGTGCATGGTCTGCCGTAAGGCGTTATTCTCCGTTTGTCTGAAAGTCATACCTAGCTGGGTGTCCTCTGCGGGCGGCCCTGCCCTGGGACTTCAGATGCAGCAGTCAGAACCACCCTCAGAGACGAGACCGTGTTTACTTCCACACTGTCCACTCTGATCTGGGACACTGACATCACCACTGTGAGCAGCCATGGCTTAGGTATGAAGGCCAGGTTTTCTGAGCTTTATAAAATGCCCTCTACTCTGTCTTTAAAATAGCATTCCCAGTTTAAATGTGATGGACATATCTTCAAGCAAACTTTGATATAAAACCTTATGTAATACAGATGGTAGTGCAAAGGATTTAACACTGCATTCATTTGGAATTTAGATTTAAAACATAAAATATAATTAATGTCACTTTTGAAGTGAATAATGATCAAGTTTCACAGCAGACAGATACAATTTCATCTTGAAGACTTTTGATATTTAAGTATGAAGCAGTCTGCTTTTCATTCCAGCATTTTTAAACCTCTTTCCAAGACCAGAGAAATTCAAAATTGGGAGTATCTTGCTCTTAGTCACAACTAAATTCCTTTGGCGGATGGCTTTGTAATTTATTTGAATGCAGTGTGGTGGTGAAGGTGACTTGGCAAGGCCCGAAGCTGGGACAGAAATGTGGGGGTGGATTGACTGCCAAGACCCTGCTCGCATGGGCTGGAGGGGCCACCTGTCTCCAGAGCCAGTGTCATTCTGAGCTGAGTGGGGTTGCCTCGTTAGTGAGTTTTTGAGTTTTTCTCTTAGCCTGACTTAAGTGACATTTAACTCTTGATGAAAGATTCTGAAGACTTTAGGGGCAGCTTCTGCTGAGACTTGATCCTTGGTCCAAAATAAAATCACGAGCATTTCTAAGGCTTTCAAAGGAAAGTCATTAGTAATGATTACAGCCACGGCTGGTGCAGGCTGAGACACAGCTGTGAACAAAATGGTGGGGCGCGAACATTAAAACTAATCAATGTCTTTGTCCTTACGAAGCAGAAATGAATCCTCAATTTCAGCAGCCTTCAAATCCTGTCATTAGGAAAACGGCAAAATCATGGCCTTGAGTATGCTTTCTTTAAGTAAACTTGTGAAGAGCTACAGAATCTGGAAACTGGTGAGCTGTCAGTTCGCCCGACATTTGGGTCACCCTTTCAGCAAACCAAATCGTGGAGCATCTTTGCCCCCAAAAGCTGCTTCTGGTCCTGCTGCAGCTGAGGCCACACAGCGCCGTGCGGCACCCTTCTGCCGGCATCACCCTGTGCTGTCTGTCTGCAGGAATGTGCTTCCTGGCTCTGCTCACACAGTCAGGCGACATGGTCACAGGCAGAATTTTTCACTTGACCACCCCCGACCTCCACCCTTTAAATGCACAGTAGGTGGGCCTCCTTTGGAGAGAGACACAGCACCACCCAGGGGAGGGCCATCGTGGGCCCACAGGGGCACAGCCCAGCACAGCATGAGGTGGTCGGGGAGGATCTGAGCGGCCACGGGTAGTGGAGGGCAGCGCGCAGAGGGCCGGATGGGGGTACTGAAGGGGAAGAGCCAGGTGCCGAGACCACTTGGTGGCCAGAATGGGTGCCGCTCAGAGGAGGATGGGGCAGACCCATGGGACTGTCCCCAGGGGAGAACCAGCCACACAGCGGGGCACAGGGGCAGGTGTCAGTCAGCTTGAAACCTGGACTTAGTAGAAAAGGCTTCAGATCCCACTCCCATCAGATCAAAACCTAAAAGGAGGTGAATGTGCTCTCAGAAGCCAGGGGGTCCTCACCACGGACACCTCCACCTGCAGACTTCAGAGGCAGGCTGCCCTGCTGGCCTGTCCCCGTGCGACCCGAGAGAAGCCCTGAGCCAGTCCAAGGACTCAGCTTCTGCACTAGACTGACTGTCACAGCTGCAGGGCGGTGGGCAATGGCCGCTGCCCTGGCCACATAACTACTGCTTCTCGAAATAAGGCATGACAAGGATCCACGCCGGAAGTAGGCCAGGCAGGCAGCGTGGTCTTGGTGCCAGCCCCGCCTTCCGAGGCGGACAAGGAGCCGGCTTCAACTCAGCTGCAGATTGGGCCCAGGGGGGCAAACGCGGGGCAGCATGCTGGGTGGGTGGCCCTCTGCGGGAGGCACCATCTCCGCGCTCGGGGTGGAAGCTGTCACGTCCCGTGGCTCATGTGAGAGAGCAGCTCCTTCTCCTTCTGTCCCTCCTGCTGCCTGGGCATCATGGATTTGAAAACCCTCCGTCACCTGCAGTCCTGGGAGCCAGGGAGGGAGGAGCCAGGGGGCCTTGGTGACCAAGAGCACAGTGACCCCAGGACAGGTCTCAGCGAGGCATCGTGACATGCCCAGGTGGTGAGTGCGGCATGTGGGGCCGAATTGCGCTCGGCTGGCAGCGTTGCCATCACTTACTTGCCCTGCGCCCCGGGTGTGGGAGGGTGGACGGTGGAAACGCGAAGCGCTGAAGGGACGCGGTGTGGTTGACCAGGAGGAGCTGAGCCGCTGATACGGCCGGACACGTGAACGAAGCTCTGGCAGCTGGGAGGTGAGGCCAGAGCAGGGCCCTCGAGGGCGCTTTCTCTCCGCTTTGCCAGGGACGCCACCTCTGGGCCCCCTGTACCTGGATCTGATAAAGGGCCAGGGCAGAGGCGCAGTCTGTGGTTCACCATTTCTACCCTTAAAGTCAGGCTGGCCTTCCACAGACTCGGCACCCGCCTGGGGGCTGTTCTGAGGGGGCGGCCGCCCTGCCCTGCGCAGCCTGCGACCCCCGCGTGCCCCGCGTCCTGTGGCCGACGGCACATGCCCGTCCTCCAGCACCGGGACGCTCGCTTGCCCCTCGGGCTCACCCTGTCGATGCCCACACTTTCTGTTCTGTGTGTCTCTGTTTGAGGAGAACAAGCAAGATCTGAAATAGCAGGTGCGTTGTTTCTGTCCGTCCTCCTGCCCACATTCCAGCGGTGACCACGTGACCACAGTCTCCATGGCAACTCACTTAATTTGCACTGTGCCTTATAGTGCATTATGTTCCCAAACAAATGAAAACAGAGCGTCTCCGGTTTCCCGGGACCCTGGAGGGGCCCCTCTGACCGACCGGCTCCGGGGCAGCCGCTCACTGGCTGGAGAACGGGACATGAAGCCCGCATGCTTCCGCCAGGCAGAGTGGGTACAGCTGGCTTAGGTTGTGTGATTTGAGTAAAATGTCCCGTAAATACTTCACCCGGTTCAGGCAGATGTTCACTGTACATACATAAAAGTATGAAATGTATATATTTTTGAAAGAAGTAGCTGGGATTGCCCATAAAATGAAATTCTGCTGCAAATGTGCATGAGATGGTCCCTGGCCTCCTCAGCGCCTCCCACAGCCAAACTGCCCCTTTTCCCAAACCTTCCATAAACTCCCTGAAACTGGCAGAGGCCAATTTGCTGCAATAAAAGGGGTTAGATCACAAAGTGCTCAAGGGGTCCATCTGCAGACATTAGCTTGCTGTGATGGTATTACTAGCAAGAAGTAAATGTAGAATATTTGCCCCAGAATCCATGCCTGATATTGCAAACCTGCTTAAATGCACGTGTACAGTCTAAATATGTAGTTATCCGTGTATGTATGGAATATGTACCCAAATGATAACAAACACGTTATGTACATGATGAATTGCCCAGAATCCTCTTCTGGGGCTTCTGTCTCCACAGGGAGACCAGCCGTCTACACCCCTCACTATGACTCAGTGCCGGGGAGAATCCCTTGGCCGTGACAGTGCATCTGAACCACCCTGCAGCCCGTGTGGAGCTGGAGCAACAGAGGAAGGTGCCTGGCGTTGCTGGGCCCGTGCAGGACAGAGGCCACCAGACATCTGCAGTCTAGCTCCCCATGGGCTGGAGGGACACAGGTTGCAGGCTGTGTGTCCTTGGCCTCCGTAGCCCCACTGGGGAAGGAGAAACCATGCTAGGTGACCCCAGACCATTCACATGCATGCGGTGATGCCTGGCAGACACAGGGCAGCAAACCTGGGGTGGACAGCGATGGTCAGTGCCAGTGACCTGAAGTGTCCTCCCAGCAGGAGGAAAGGAAGCTCCATTCTGGACAAACTGACCCAAGATGAACTGACATTAAGCATTACGACTGTAACCACAGGCTTTGAGCATTGCTGAATGGAGCCTCTGGAAGGCAGAGGCTCCGGCAGTCAGAGAGTCCTCGTCGGGGCTGGTCAGCATTCAGGTTGGGCTCCACGAGCTGGAGGAGCCGGGAATAAAGGCAAGGGAAGTTCTCTGAGGTCTCTTCTCTGCAGACAAAGGCTAGCTAGCCTGGGTCAGAAGGGCGAGGCCCACGGGCACAGCGAGCGCATGCCTGCCCCGCAGGCTGGCCTCACGGTGGGTGGCTGACAGGTGTCGGCTCTGGGTGCTAGATGGAGGGTGTGGCATCTGGGCAGCAGGAAGCATCTCGAGCGTGGATGCCCGGGATGTGCTGAAGATGTGCAGAGTGTGACCGCTGTCTGCCCCAGAGGGTACTGAAGAGTGACTCTGTTTCTCTCTTTGCAGAGGAAGAGGGCGGGGACCTGGCCCAGCCGGGCATCAGCTTTCCGGGGCCGGCGGAGGAGGATCTCGGTAGGGCACAGACTCTGCCTGCTCATGGAGGACTAGACATGCGGGCCCCCGCCAGGGTCATACTGCACCCCAGAAACCAGTGAACCTTGCACAGAAATGTGTTCCCCACACGTCAGACTTCATGGTGGCCCAAAAAGAACAAAATAAGATGCAGTGAAATTTAAAAAAAAAAAACTTGTTTCATAAACATTATGAAGTTTAGGCAATATCATCTATTAACTATTATCTATTAAGGCAGTTCATTACTATCAATTAGTACAGCAGCTAGTGACGTGACTGACACGTGACACCTCACTGCTGTTCTCCTTCCCCACTGAGACTGACTTACTCTAAGTCAATCTAAGGAATGGAAAGGCACTTGTATTTACATTTTTTTCATGTAGCTCTGCAATTTTGCATAAAATGCTGATTTCTCTGGGCAAGCCCAGCATCCACTATGGCCTGGATGCTGTCCAACCATGTGCTTTCTGCCGAGGGGGCTCCAGGTTACAGCCGTGCGGTATTTCCCCAGGGCTACTTAAAATCATGTGCGAGTTCTGTGTTCATGCCTCCACAGACCTTAAAGCTAGTGCACAGTTGGCCGCCATCACTGAGGGGCAGGTGCTGTGTGGGGTAAATTCAAATCAAGCAGTCACTGGGCAAATAGACCCCATGTGAGGCTCTGGGGTCTCTGCCCTCCACCTCACCTGCTCAGTTACGCACCTGGAAGAATTCTGGCTCCCTGTCTAAAGTTGCTGAATGCTTTATAACACTGAGGGCTGTATTAGGGCTCCTATGTTTGATTTACATTTAAATTTGAGTTTTTCAAGTGCAGTTTTTTCATTTACATTAGCCAGGGAATCTGTTACCCACTTGATTGGCTTGAAGAATACCACTGAAAATTGAAGGGATCCATTTATATGAAGCTGTGATTTCTTTTACAGAAAATGAGAGCCCAAAAAAAGTTTGCTTTGCAATTGAAAATTGCGAAAACAGGTATAGTTCTGAAAGAATGACAGTATATTATCCACTGTGGTAAAGTTTGAAATTTATTTCTGACTTGATATTCTAAGCTAGCCTTTCTTAACTAGGAAATACACAAACAAAATAATTTCTCCTTGTTAGAAAGGCATGCGCCTGTCTCTGGGGCAAGTGACGTGCCACCTTTTATGTCACTCGTGATGGCAGGAAGCTGGTCTGAAGAGGCTTCTCATGAATGACCCATGGGACTGGAGTCTCACCGAGACTTGGGAATGGCTCGCCTGTGTTGCTTCCAGGCCTGAAAGGTCTCGTACCACAGCCATGTCTGTAAGTGGCCCTTCTTCCTTGTGACAGCGAGGGAGACGTGCCACCAGCCTTAGGATCGTGTGCTCTCGGCCTGCGACTGGTGGCAGGGCGGCTGCTGACACAGCCCCTCTGGAAGGGCCCGGGTGGGGCCAGGCCAACGGGGGTCCCACTGGGAGATACGCCTGCTCTCCCAGCCCTGGGCACCCTGGGTGTGGCCTCAGCTGGGGCAGCCCCAAGGCTGGGCACAAAACTCAGACAAGGTCCTGGGTCACCCTGGCACAGGCCCAGTGTCGCCCAGGAGCTTCCTGTAGTCCCAGCCGGAGTCACGTCCCTTCCATAGCACGTGGTAGAGTCAGGCCCAAGGGGTCAGCATCTCACAGTTGGATTTATAGGCTGCATTGTACAGAGGGAAGTGGGTTTTTGTGTGTGTGGTAAAATATACATTACATAAAATTTGCTGTTTTAGCTATTAAGTGTACATTCAGTGGCATGAGATGCAGTCTCGGTGTCGTGAACCATCCCCACCACCATCCCCAGAACTCACTCTGTCTTCCCGGACGTACACTCTGCACCCACTGAGCGCTCCCTCCCCCACCCCCCACCCCACCATCGTTCTCTCTGCGTCTGTGAGTTGGCCTGTTTTAGATGCGGGGTCTGTCCGTCTGTCTGGCTTGTGTCCTCCAGTCCATCCATGTCGCAGCAGGTGTCAGCACGCCCTCCGTTTCCGGACGGAACGGTATTCAAGTGCGCAGATGGGCTGCACTTTGTTTTCCCCCGACCGCGGACACATGGGTGGCGCCTGCCTCTGGCTGCTCTGGGCATGCTGTGCGGGATCCGTACGCACCCTGCCTTAATCACCCTGGGTGTAGACCCAGGGGAGGAACAGCTGGGCCACTTGGTAATTCCGTGAATTCTTTTTTGAGGAACTGCCATACTCCCCAGGGGTAGAAGGTATTGAGTGAGTGGTTTGTACAGTCTGGGCATGAGATGCCAGTCAGTGGTCATGCCAGGGAGAAGGAGGAGGCAGGTGTTAGAGCCCTTGGGCAGGAAGCAGCAGAGGGTCGGTGACTGTGGCTGTAGGGCGCCCACACGTCGTCTGGTTTCCACTGGGAGTGGTGGGTGAAGGCAGCGGGGGAGCACAATGGCGGGAAGCGGGAGCCCGGACGCCAGCCGCCCATGAGGCAGGACAGGCACGCAGCCCGTGTTGTAGGCTCAGGGCCGTGCACACTGCGACCACGGCTGCAGTGGCCTTTCCCCGCTCGTTCGTGGACACGTTAGGCCTCAACCCCGGTTCTCACCGGTCATGTCACTTGGGGAGCAGTTAAAAATGCTGCCAGCTAGACCCCATGCCTGGACATGCTGATGTGGCCCCTCTGAAGCAGGGTTGGCACGTGTGGCTTCTGAAAGTTCCCTTTGGGATCCTCATGGGCACCTGCCGTGAGAACCTGGGTGCAGAGGGTATGAAAGGGCAGTTAACCTTCAGGTGGGAGAGGAGGACAGGAGGAGGCTGGCCCACAGGGGGAGGCCCAAGTCACGCTTCCAGCCCTTTGGGGTAACACACTGGGGGAGTCTCTGTAATCACAGACATTCACTTCTCCAAATCGAGTTTTCTGGGACCGTCGTCTCTGAGTGGAGGGGTTAAGCCAGGGAGCTTCCCAGCCCCAGCCCTGTGGAGCTCCAGGCTACTGCACCCAGTTAAAGTCAGAGACGCTTAGTCACAGAGGCGGCACTCCAGCCCAGCACTCGTGGCCTGCTCACCACGCAGCCACGGCCAGCGCCACCCTCAGGGAAGGTGCATGCGCTTCGGGTCCCATTCAAAATGCCCATTTTTCTATTTTAAAGTGCCCTCAGTCTCAGGTGGGGGACACTGACAAACTAAAACCTTCTCTAGTGACAGATAAATTAGTAAAGTCACCTTTTTGGAAATGAGTGCCACACCCCATTCACCCCACTACATTTAAAGGGCACTTGCATTCTCTGATGCTCATATTATACAATGTATTGAAACCAATTTATGACGAGGAAAATGTCCCTGGAAGGCAGGAAGACAGGGAAGGTTTCCATAAAGTTGATCTGAAGGCAGTGATAGAAACGAATTAATGCAGCACCTTCACAGCGGCCACGAAGGAGGAGGAGAACCTTTTTCCAGAAGAAAGGCACTGAGGGGCACCTTCAGACTCACTAGTATGAATTGCTCTCCCAGAAATTTTTGTGGCAGTGGCTCATTAGAGAGGCCTTATCTTCATTCTCTTGAATGTTATATTTAATCAACTGTGAAGAGTTAGCACTTTATAAGCATTTATAAGGACTGTCATATTGACCCAAATTTTATACTAGTAAGTCAATTGCAAACTGAAATGGGAAAAAACAGAGGCAGATTAAATGATCAGTCAAAGAGTATCAGGCCCATGTGATCTGGGGCACAATACGAAGACAGTGGGTACACGTGCAAGTCAGAACAACACGCGCATGTCAAAGTGGTTCCACAGATGCCTGGAGCCTTCTGTGGAGTGGGCACGTTTTCGTCTGGGGGGACAGTTCCCGGCATCATTTCGAGGCTTCCACACCAGGTAGCTGTATCTCTGTCCCCCAGCGATCACGAGGTATAACATACTTTAAAAGAACTCCCCTTTTAGAAATTTGTTGTGTCCTTGCACAAAGACCCCTGGCCATCTTGTAAGCATGGAACACTGTAACTTATTTCCGCAAGGTAAACTTCCAGAAGTTTCCAGACATGGAGAAGGCAGTGCTATGCCGTTTCGGCACAGATGGTGACTGCGTCACAGCATCCTCGGCGGCCAGCGCTCCTCCACTCTTGCCCCTGTCCTCCCACAGGCCACCCGGAGACATCCCTGCTGCCCCTCACTGCCCAGTGGGCCCCAGACGCCGGTGGGGACAGCACCCCTCCAGCCTGTGACGAGAAGCTGTCACCTGCTGCGGAGAAGTGAGGAAGGCCTGGCCCAGTGGGAAGGGCCAATGCCGAGTGGGAGATGGCACCCAAGCATGTGTTTCATTCGACAGTTTCATGTCAGAACTTTATTTCTGTACAAACAAAAAAAATTAGTTTTAAAGTTACTAATATTTAATAACTATTAATAGCAGAGGTTAGGATACTGGAATTTGACACCTAAATTTCCAAATGCATTCCTTCCATTTCTCCTAAAATACCAATTTTTAACTTGCACAGCTTCTGAGCTGCTAAATGAATCATAGTGACTTCTCCCAGGTTAGGTCCCTTCTTGCACAGTAAATCGTCACTGACTGCTTCAGACACATGCAGGCCTGTCTGCGTCCTCGGTCAGGCTGCCGTAACCGTGCCGCAGTTGCGGCTTATCCACGACAATGTCAACTGCTGGCTCTGAGGAGCCGGCAGCCCCCATGTCTGGGGAGGTGGCATCTCCACCGTCATCACCTCGTCACCATGGGGATGGGTGTCCACATGTGAATGTGGGGACACAGGCAGTCAGTCTAGAGCAGCCTTCATTCATTCAGAATCATTACCAACAATTTGTTAAATTAAAAAATGTACAGAACAGGAAACAGAACAGTGCAGCACCCAGACTGAGGCGAGGCAGTTCTGTTTAGGGAGTCATCAGGTGTGTGTGTGTATGTGTGTTGGGTGCCAGTGTAAAATGTCTTTCACATTATGAGCATGAACAAAATGTTCGGAGGCCACCTGCAGGAAGATGCCTTCCAGAGCACGGCCAGCTGCACACCTCGTCTGGCTCTTTGGT